CGTTAGTTAAGGGTAGGGAAAGTGAAAGTCGGAAAATTAGTATATAAGGCATTACCATTGTTAAATTAGTTAGTTTTATTCTCACCTGAGGATGACCACTTTGTGGTCGAAACGCGTTGTGCTATTAAAATAAAAGTTTGGTGTGACGGGCTAATCGTGTTTTTGTTCATCGTTTCCGTACCAAGAAGATCCAAGAAGAAGAAAAATTAAATTTAAATGTTTGTCTTAAGATCTTTAATGTCTTCTTATAGCAGTTTAAAAATAGAGCTCGTAGTTAAAATTCGAGCGACTGTCAGGGCAGAGAATTTAAAAGATCGACTATAAAGTATAAATATTGCTAAATTCAGAAACTGTTATAAAGAAATTTGTCAAACTAATGTCAAAATTAACAATATGCCAACATAAGTACACGGCATATTTTTTAGAAGAGCGTATATTAACGTGTTAACATAAGAGGTAGGTAAACTGAAATGCATCATATAGAAGCAGTATAAGATATCAGTGTTGGAAAAAGTTTTTATTATTCTTAAGAACATAAAACGGGTATTTTAAAATCAATTTTCTCAAGATCTCTCCCAAAATCTCAGTTTTTGTTTCAAAGTCCTAAGTTTTTTATCAAAATTTTTATACTCTCTTAAAATTACAAGATTTTAGCACTGTTTCGTAAGGTATTGATTTTTATAATTTGGTTTTAAAAAAAATACATTTGAAAATTATACTTAAAACTGTTTTGTTTGAAGAAAAAATTCCTTGATAGATTTTGGTTTATTTTCATAGAATATCACTGTAGTTTTTCAGTCTATGTATTATGCTCTAGACCGGTGGGAGGTGGTGCATAGATTTTAATCAGTGAAGCCATAAAAACTTATTAAAATATCTATATCTCAAAATAGAATAGTTTTTGCAAACGTCTCGACGTATTCACTCTTTTTAAATCTATTTCCGGCCTTTCATAATTTCCATCCCTGTCAGAAATCCTTCCAAAGTTAGCAAGCAAGCAAGCAAGCAGTCTCTCGTCGTTCTTAAATTAAAAGAGAAGGACGCACTTCTTGTGTACATCTTGTCCGTAAAACTCCGCCCTGGTTGGTCGATTAGCCTATCCCGGATAACGGGTGGAGACTCAGTGTAAAAATGTTTTTTTCGGAAAAAAGAAACCACAGCCGTGAATGGAGAGCGCTGCGGGTGCGCGCGGACTCGGTCACCGCACCTGCGAACTGCGCCCGCCACCAACGCACTCATCCACCCCCTGGTTGGCCTGGCCGGCCACCACTGCTGCTGAAGTCGCGCTTTTCCTCCCAAAATCGATCATGATTCTTAAATCAGGTGCTACTGAATGAAAACCAAAAAAAAAAATCCCTTTCGGCCATTATTGACGATGTGTTGGTAATTATTTATGTTTTAAAAGGGTTGACGAACACTCAGGGTTAAGAAACAGTTCGGAAGCGAGTCACGTCGCTGTCGCTGACATGCCAGCTTATAACTTGTATAAAGTAAACCCATAATACTACTTGCGTCTTTAGATGGCGCCAGAGAGCCAGGTGACAGCTACGTGCCAAGAGAATTTCCTCACCCCAATTAAGGGACGTACGGGCTTGGATCATTATGTACCTATCTAAGTTATATTACGAAACAACCCCATAAAACTATTTCTACAAGAAAAACTTTACTTGATTGCAGGTACCAAATTCACAACTCATGACCCTTGTAATTTTTACGTATTTCATTTTTCGTTGTATTAGAGAAACTTTTATTAACAGTAAAAAGATCAAGTTTTACAACTTATTCCGTGTGAATATCAGACAATAGTCTTAAATCACCTAAAATCGAGTTCCTGATAACAAAATAACAAGTGTTTTGGCACGTAAGATTTTAAATTTGTTTGGACGTAAGATAATATTATTCAAAGTAAGAATTTTTTAAAGGGAAAACACTAAGTCAAAAGTGGTAGCAGTTCATTTCTATGACCATAAATAAATTTTATTTGTTTTTCGTTTCTGAAAGTTTTTTTTTTTTAATTGAGTTAATTTTTAGAGACAATTCTGTATTAAAAGGCTGCAAGTAAGTGCATTGTCATGGGAAAAAAGTTCTCTAAAGAATAAAAATAAGATAGTTTGTATAACATGTACCTACTTAATACATTCTGTGTAATTTTTTTTTTAAATAAGTAAACTTGATGTAAGTTCTAAATTCTCTTCCTGTTAGTTTCAAAATTGCTACTTTGTCAAAATAAGTGCAATCAGACACCCTTATTTGTCCTGGTTTTCCATCTTGACTATTTTTTAATAAATTTCTTGCTAAAAATTAGCGCACCTTTATAAAATCTACAGTAAAATTTTATTTCAAATTTCAACAGTGATGTTGTTATTACTTTTCTATACATGTTTGTAGGCCAATTTCTAAAAAATTGTTAAGAGTACTTTTTGTGTTGTCGTCTCCAAATTTTGCTTAAACGTATTGTTTATAAAAAATAATCAAAAACAGGAACTGCTAACTTCTCTTATTATTATAATTACCACAAATATTCTAATGTTTTTATCTTTAAAGCAGTTTGACATTTATCCCTACAAAAAAAAACAGACTTTGCAAATGCAATTTTTAGTTGAGATATGTTATTTATGTATAAAGTTGACCAATCTACATTGAAAAAAATTGTTTTGAAGTGTGTAAAAAGGTTTCATTGTTATAAATTATAAGAATGTACTAATTTTTTTCACTTTTTATGTGCGAAATGATTTTTTGGTTTCGGTAGCAGCGATACTAAGTTAGGTATTGACATTTTTCTGAAAAAAATTAGAAAATACACCAACTTAAATTCTTCTAACATATTTATTGTTAATAATTAAATAGAAGCATTGCTAAAAAAGGCTTGTTTGATACAATTTTTATTTAATTTTGTTATCTACAGCATTAAATGAAAGTAGGTCTAATTTTTTTTTATATTTACTGATATTTGTAAAATAAATTTTCCATTAACGTTTGGAAATTTAATAATTTTTTTCAAAACTTTTTTTTAGAATTCTTTTTTAAAAATGTTACGTTCTGGTTCACAGTTTAAAAGATAAATCATCATGTTTGCGAGAACTATCTCTCTATCTCTCAAATTTCAATAAAGTATTTAAAAAAATGAAAAGACGATTTTATTTTTCCAAATTGTTATTGATAGCTGAATTTACGTTAACCTTTTTATATCCTAGTAAAAATCGTATGTAAAAATATTTTTGATTTATATTAATTAATATCAATTTTAAGAAACAAAATTATTTAAGTCTGCTTTGTGTTGTAGTCTATACTTTTAGCCAAATAATTTATAAATATGTTTAAACCAAAGAGAACTGGTGGTGGAATAAAATAAAGCAAAAAAATAGTACGTGACAGTTAGTTAATAATGAACACGACTTGATCACTTATTGTTGACACCCTGTATAAGAAAAGCAAATAAATATAACATTAAACAATAGAGCAAAGCCTCACAAATTTGCACCTTAAATATTTGAATGTTTTTGCAATTTTTTTCAAAAAATGTTAATGTTAATATTTTAATAAATAATTTAATAAAAACGTTAAAGATGATCTCAGATATTAAAAGAAATAGTCAATGAAGATTTGATAACCCAAATAAAGCGCTGACACGTATGTTTTGAAAACTGAAAACTGTTGATCTAAAAAATGACGTCGCTTCTCCAATGAAAGGAGTTGCGGCGAAAAATCTTACTCTCGAGAATACACATTTATTTTGATGAAATAACCTTCCATAATTCAATTTGCGATGTATATTGCTATAGTATAAGTTATTTCACATTTAATTTTCATCAAAAAAGTATAATTAAGGGTTTCGAAAAAACACCACAAATTAGCATCACTTATTGGTGATTATTTGAGGTTGAAATAAATGCAGGAAAAATTCTCACTCACCCTTTCCTATGCTATTGGGGGAGAGCGCTGCTGTTGACGTAATCATTTTGGGTTCGTTGGCGACGGCTGTTACACTTGGTACGCCTTCCCTAGCCACTTCTTGAAGAGCATTAGCTGCTCTTGAGCCCGCTGCAGCTGGCTGTAAAATTGTATACTGCTTGTTTACGTCCTCCGAAGATTTTTCCACATCCTTGACCACTTTACTTTTATCATCAGTGGCAATCGGATAACCGACAAACGTCGCTTCTGCCGGCAAAGGGCCTAAATTCAACAAAAAATCGGTTTTTTGTTATCTCAAAAAGAAAACAATAAAATATAGAAAATGTATGTACCAGTTTTTCCGTCATCGCAATCAACTTTTTTCTCCTTCTTGTTATCGTTGTTCTCCGAAGCCGATTCCGACATGTCAATTTCAAGTTCATTGGAGGAGTCGTCCACTAACTCGTTAAAATCCGGTGGTTCGTATTGTGATGTTTCATGTTTGATTTTAATCTTTCCTTCATCTTCCAACTTGATCCTCGTCCTACCCTTCAATTCCTCTTCTTCATGCGGTTCTCTAAGTGTAATCACGTCTTTTAAAGAGCACACATCATTGCTGCCATTACTCGAAGAAGAAGGCGACAATTTAACACTCTTTTTCTCATCAAACAAATTTTCAAAAGCTGGAGACTCGTCTTGCTTTTTTTGATACGAAGATCCGCGAGGACCGGGCCAACTACCAGACAAATTCTTAAGTGCTGCTTCTGTTTCTCGAATAAGAGTCTCATCAGCTGCACTTTCGTCCGATGTCGTATTAGGCAACAATTTCTGACATTTTTTCAGAGGACTGGTTGTTGATGAAGCAGGTAACACACGCTTTTTCTGAGGTAAGATTAGGGATTTTGGCGGTTCTACGTCTTCGGGCTTTCGGCGCTTTTTCTCATCGTCTAGCGAGTTTGAAAAAATTTTAGAAACGGTTGCCATACTGGAATCGTCCAGTTTTCGTTTTTTCAGCTGGGGTAGACCAAAGGGGCGACTAGCTCTGAAAAAAAACCGTTTCTTCAGTCGCTTTAAATAAGAAAACAAACCCATTCAAAATTAAATTTACTTTGATTAATTACTATTAAAACAAAGTTTTAGTTTTTTTTGTATGGAAATACAGTGGAAGTAAATAAGAAAAACAAAAACTACTCAATTTTTTGGTTTAAATTGCTCAATTATGAAAGATGCAAAATACTTTGCACTAGTTTAAAGTCCGTCATCGAAAAACGTGGATTTTCTAAATTTTGTACTCAATGTTAAAGAGTGCTTTTATCAACTAATTTCAGTAGATAAAGTAGTTTTTAATCGTCTAGTGAAATAAAGTAATTTTTATCTACTGTTTAGCTTTTATCAACTAATTTCAGTAGATAAACTTAGTCACTCGTAAACTTAACCTTTTCACTCGTAGATAAACAATTTCTTTATCGTCTTGTATAATAAATAACTATAAATTAATAATTAGAATCACTTAAAATAAAAGAAACGTCTGAAATTCTTTATAAGAAGTTTTAGAAATAAGCTGGAAATAATTAAAAAACGAAAATCACTCAATTTAAATTAAATTTATTTCAAAAAATCTTGCACTAGTTATATTGCTGATTAAAATGTAACAATTTTTTCTAACTTAAGTAGGTACCCAAGTTCTAAAATCACTCCAAGTGTAGAAAAATTAAATTTAGGGAAATTACAGGAATAGGGTTAGAATAAAAATGTTCGAATACCTTTTAAATTTTTTTATTTTAAGTAATATTTCAAAATACGGTTTTGTAAAAAACGTTTAATAAAGAAATATTTTTTTCAACTAAAGTACTGAAATCACTTGTAGTGTAAAAGGTGTTTGCCACAGTATTAAAAGGAAAAACTTTAAATTGTGTGACAAAAACAGAGAAAAATAGGCAGTAAACAGCACATATCTGGGAAATTTCAACGATGGGTGTAACATTTTCATTCAACTTCCGACATTCCCTTGAATAAATCGTGTCAGTGTTTATTAAAAATCGTTTATGATTTGAAAATTTTGGACTTGTAAGCCAAACCACGTCCATGTGCTATAGTAAATTAGCAAATATGTATAACAATTACCGCAAACTATCTCAACCAGCTTAAAAGTACGTCAGTTGGATGTAAGTTAGTTGGTAAATCCCTGAGCTCCTGCGAAATACAGATAGCTAAAATAAGGACTATCCTGGCTAAGGTTGGTAATCCTTAGCCAGCGAGACTTTCGAACATCAAGATTTCTTCAAAGTGGGATTTAAAGGATTAAGTAACGGTATGAGATACGCACCTAGCTAGTACAGACTGCATCGTAGTAGCATCGTCCACAAATCACCTCTTTTTATTAGTACACGCGATTTGTACACGCACGCACGCGATCTCGCATAGGACTAACGTGCGTAGGCAACACGCACATCGGTGCAACTGCAGCAACGGAGCTTTTCGGTGGCGGCTGCAGCGCGCGCAAACTAAAAGAATGCAACCCTCGCTGGAAGGAAGGAGTCGTCGGTCGTCCCCTTGATAGAGGGACGCAAGTTGCCATAACTCGTCGATATCTAGCACAGGGGAGTCGGTAGGGAACAACTATGAAAAATTAGGACAGTTCAAGGCGATATTAAAAAAGCTTTAAAAATGTACGAGTTGCTGTAAAACTGTAGGGGTTGAAAATCAAAAATTGTCATTGTTTCTTAGTTGTGAGAAAGTTGATGACTATTAAAGTGTTTAATGATTACTACAACATGTTTTTAATTATAAAACGAGAGAAATAAACGGTCGTCGTCTTAGTCGAATAAACAAAGTTGACGGAGGTTAGCGAACGTAAAAAGTTTTCCCTAATTCTGACTTAGACCTACCTTATCAACTTGCCTAACTAGTTCACGCGAGTTAGAAAGAGAAAGTACAAAGAACGTAAGTGTAATTTGTGTCGGCGAAGTTTCGGACTAAGTTAGCGTCAGTTTGAAATTAAAGTGAACTTTTTATGAACTGACATGAATTTTGCAGAATCGATACTGTTTACATTTGACTGGAAACTGAAGAATTGAATGAAATTTCCTTCTAGGGTTACATATTTTTTTGATTTCTTTAAACAGTAACAACACTTATTAATGTTATATTACTTTAGTCTTAGAGTCTGTATAAATCACCCTTACAAAATTAGAACTTTGCTGCAGTAGATGGCGCCACTAATGCGGTTCTTATATGTAACGCACACTTTCTTTAGATGTTCGCAGTGTTGGAAACTGCTGGTTTCAATTATTATTATTGTTTTAATTATTTATCCTCTTATAGTTATATTATTGAAAATTTGCAAATAAAGTATTAAAGAACAAGAAGTTTTATTCTCACCTGAGGATGACCACTTTGTGGTTGAAACGCGTTATAAAAAGTTTGGTGTGACGGGCTAATCGTGTTTTTGAAATCGTTTCCATACCAAGAAGATCCAAGAAGAAGATTAAAGAACATGACAACGATATGTACCTTCATTTGAAAATGATGAAATACCGGGTCATTAAGATTTTGTTTGAGTTGGCAAAAGAATTAAGTGCGTTTTGTTTATCGGCTGTTTGCCACATTGCAAAATAACACTGTCATTGTCGAACCGGATCTTGCTCAAAAAAATACTCTAAAAAGTCAATATTGCCAACTCAGTTTGGTCATCCGGTATAAACTAACCAAAAATTAAAATTACAGTAATCTACATCTTTGAAAGACATAGAAAAACTGTATATTTAAAGATATAATGGAAAGCTTGCCAAGTTTTTACAATGCATTTATAAACTATAAATAGCAATTATTTAGTTAGCAAAATTATTTAAATTTTGTATCAAAAATTTAAATTTAACAGATCAAAAGAATTCAACACAATTCAACTTTTAAATAAATCGTAAAGGTACTAAAAAATAACTATGGCTTTGCTAAATTTTTTTTGCAGATTTTTATAAAGTTTTTTAAAGATGAAAATTATTTCAAATAAATTTTACTCAGTAGAAATTAACAAAACAAATTTATCACTGCATTGATTATACCACGAGATGACAAAAAACGCAATATTTTTTTTTTAATTTTGCCATATACATGATCTTTTAGAGGTGGCGCCCCACATAAAAACATCAAGTACGATAACATACCAGGTATATGAAGAAAAATGTTAAAAAAAAAACCTTATCTATAGGAGTTTCAAAATTATGGGGGTTTACATTTTACACATTGACTTTGTTTATTTTTATTGAAAAAATAATTTTATATCTTTTTTGCTGCAAGCTACTAGAAGAGGAAACAAAGAAGCTGTATCTTAAAGTGAAACTATTTAACATTATTTGTGGCTTTTGGTGGCAAAGCTCTTGTACTTTTATTAAATACTCGTAATTATGAAAAAACATACACAAGACAATTAATAACAAAAAATCGACATAAGAAAGGTTGGATTGCAACAACATGTAATTTTTTTAACATTTTTTTCATGGTCCCGGTATCTTATCAACTAGGCATTTTTCTCTAGGACGCGAGTTGTGAAACATCCTGTACCTATAGTAAGAATTGTTCTAGACAGAAAAAACGTAGAAAAAGTATTATAAAGAATAAAAAAAACAAAATTTGCTCATTCTTATTGCTAATGAGAAGATCAACTTGTAAAAAAAGACAATAGTGCAAATTCTTTAAGAATAAGTTTAAAAGATATTCTCAACTTTGAAATTAAATCAATGCAGGTCTACAAAAAAATTAGAAACTTTTTAAAATATTCAAGTGAAGAGTAAAAAATATTCAAAAATATCGATTTAAAGAATTCTGTAGGCTTAAAGGAAAAACTAAGGAAGAAATTCGTGAATGTGATGACTCTTATCAAATCTGACTTTTCAACGTTAAACTTAAAGTACATGCAATTATTGTGTCAAATGTGAAATGTTACAAAATCAACTACAAAATGCATTTAATTTTGATTTTTGTTTTCACAACATTCACTACCTTTGGAATATACTTATCAATTTAGCAATAGAAAAAAAATCTTGAATGTAAGTAGATACGAGTATGTTATCTTTTATTACTACAAGAATTAAAAGTTCTAAATAACTGCCATACCTGTCACTACTATTTATTAGACTTGGCGTATTAGAGAATTTATCTTTTGAAGATTTTCAGGTCCTTGCACCCAGTAAAGAAAGTGTATTTCTAATAGGCAGTTCTACATTTGTTTTTAATTTCTAAATTTAATTTTCAAAATTCAGACTGTTTAAAACTTAAGGAGAAAAGATTTTTATTCAGACGTTTCTTTCTTAGATTAAAAAAAAATATATAGTTAACTCCACAAAATATTCATTAATAGCAATTTTCATGCCCATGTAATTGTGTGAGTGTGGACTTGCAATTTATTGATTTCTTGTTTTAATAAATCTACTAAATTTTAAATTATTTTCGAAAATTCAGAGTAATTAATAAGTTTTTAACCGTTTCAGGTTTTAATCAATTAACTTTTGCCAAATTTATGTTAGTGATTTGTCACTATTTAAACCAAAAAGAATATTTCAATGCAACATCACTTGATCAAATATTCGACATGCAAATATTATTATAAACGTGTAAAAATCACCGTTCGTAACACATATAAAATTAAGTAAAAATAAACAATTTGAAGAATTTTGTTTATTTGAAAATTACGATAAAGTTAAACTCTGGACCTAATCAAAAATTTAACTCTCGCCCATTTAAAACCCTTATTTCGGTCAGGCTAAAACATTCTCTCGGACCACAGTTTTTAAATTTTGCCTTTAATTAGCAAATTATTTCTGTTTTTAACCACGTTGTATAATGAAATTATAATCACCCAAAGCCTGAGTTATTTCTAATTGATATTCAAATTGTTGTCGCTGATATGTAAAATTTAATTTGAATTGTGATTGAACAAGTCTGGAGTCTTGTCTTTGGTAAATTGGTAGAAATTTTCTGCTACAATTCAGATCGGTTATTTTTGCACGCATCGGCCACACACAAACCCTTCTCGTGCAAAAGCCAAGGGTTGTATTCAAACCGGGTCGACGTGCAAGCGTAATTATCGAAAATATTGTTCGGCCTGAAGCGTCGGAGGTAGTTGGGGGTGCGACGTCGGTGCCGCCTGCGACCTGGCATATACCGTCCGCTCTGGCGCCCTGATTTATCGGCCCGACGTGATATACTGGGTGATATATGGCCCAGCCGCCTTAAGAAATCCACCATACGCGATATCTCGGACCGATCTATGAACCTGTCTGTAAATATAACCAGATTTATGCTTTCGTACTCTGCTCTGATATAGTAGAATCGAGTTGTGTTCCGTCGGTTGGTTGGTGAGTCTTTTGTAATTATGTGTACGTCATTCTCAAATCGCTCTTTGATTTGTGAACAGACGTAGATATTTATTCTCTCTCTCAAAAATAGTTTTGATTTAATGAAATTTCTGTAGGTCTGTGTGTGAGCGCGTTATGCTCGTATGAACCCTTAAGCGACCCTCGTCCGAGGAAATGAAAACTGAACACTTTTACACACATTTCATGCGCTGACAGTTAAAACTTCTGATTAAAATTTCATTAAAAGTATAGATGAGGAACGTATAAATGCTAATTGCATTTTAAAATCAGATGACAATTCAAAATGCCAAAGTCATATCGGCAGCTTTTAGAACGCAGACATTTCACAAATTCATCGATAAACAAATTTATTTAGACAGTTTGGATATTCAAGAAGGGCTACAACTGTCATTTTCGATTAGTACAATTTTAAACTATAATCATGCAGATTTGTTACGTTAAAAATAGTACAATAATGCTTCTCAAAAAAATTTATAAAAATATCGCTTCGTCGCTATAGAAGTGGCAAGTAAAAGAATGACCCGTATATCGGGTTAATAGGTCTACTTTTTTTGGCTTTCCCCTCGTTTAAAGGGTGAAAGCCGCAGCGGCTCATGTCAGTCATCTGGCATTACGACGTTTCACAAACATACGGTTTAATCTTTTTTAAAGAGAGTGGGTTTAGTTTGCTAATTAAGAACCATTTAAAATGTCATTTTTCTGTGTACTGTTTCGTTATAATTTACATTTAATTTTTCCACCTTTTTAATAATATAGACTTTAAACACTTTGACTTGACTTTTAAACTCTAATTGCAATTTCCTTGCTGTTTTTTGACGATATGTCTACCTCATTATGAATTAAAACAATTAAAAGTTATTTAATTATAATGATAATAACACTCACAGTTCTGCTTTATTGCTAATGTGATTTGTTGGTTTGTTAAATGATTGTTGAATAATTATAGCACTCATAACTTACAGAAAACAATATATTTACAGTTTTTACGATCAAGGATTAGAAGTAGTTCCAAATAAATAAAAAAAACACGAATTAACTTAATTATTAATTGTAGAAAATCAAATTAGTGCAACTCTCGATAATTAAACCTGTGATGTTTTGACAAAGAAATTTTATTGAAACGTATTTTCAAAATCTGTATTTTATGAAAGTGCGCAATACCGGAGTCTGAACAAAATGAAATATAAATTGCCAAAACAATTTCAACTGAAACATTTCAAGAATTTTTCAATGGCATAATTCCAATGAAATAAAATAGAAAATTATTTTTTGTAGGGAGGTGTAATCATCTCCTAATTTTCATGTCTGTAACTATTTTTCTAAGGTCTTATAAAAATTATTTGTGTAATTTTACAACAGTTTACAAATATATTATTATTATTGCACGTATTCTTTAGTCAAGTTCTTTTATTTATTAGACAAAAAAAAATAAATGAGAAATGAATTTGAAAAAAGAACAAGAACAAATACCAAGTGGAAGCTATAGTAACAAATGTAAAAAGTTAAAAAAAGAAAACTGAAAACCTCGAAAAAATTTTAAATCAAAAAAACAACTCCAATGTACAAAAAAATTATCGCATTATAAAATTGTCTAAAATGTTCGTAATTATGTCAAGACTGCATTTGTGAGTAAATAACCCGGCGCCTCCACCACATTTGTTATAAAGAATTACTAAAATGTACTGATATTTTCTTATTTTTTAGCAGTGTTTACTAATAAATAACTAAACAAATAATAATAATCATAAAATAATAAAAACTTTAACTTTCTTTAAAATTAAAACATCCACAATTTGTATACCATAATTCCAGCTATATTTCAATTGGCCTATTTTTAGATTAAAGAAATAGCCATTGTCATTGCTGTATTGACAAACATCTTTTGTTGATTTCACAATTTTTTTCAATTATATTGTGCTTTGAACATATCGTTTAGGTGCAATAAGAACTTTTGAAAGTGCGAGTATTTTATGTTCTTATTGTTGATGACACTGCTGTTAAAATTAAATTGCTTTCAATATTTTTACCAATGTCCTAAATTTCCGGAGGCGTACTTAAATTTTTATTGAGAATTTCCAGATTAGTCACAATAACAAGTGTATATTCAAGAGTTGAATTTTACAACGACTTTATAAATAATACTGCTACGTGTCAGCAACACACGTAAAGATTTTTAAATTTATAAATTGCCTTTTTTTTAAAACAACATAAAAAGCGCATAACATAAAAATTGTATAAATGACTCGCTACAAAAAGCTATTCAAGCAATTGTTTGTTTGTCAACTCGCCGCTACGCAGCTCGTATCGGAATTTCAAAGTCTTGTTTGAATGAATGTTAATGTTAATATACCATTTTTTTCAAAAAAAGTACAGTGAAACCTTTGTATTGCGGACACTTGTGGAACATACATACAACTAATGTTTGCTCAAAAAAGACGTCGAAAAAAACATATGCATTTATAAAATTATGAACTTAAATTTTTTGTGTACTTTTTACTTCCGCCTTTAAAGTACACAAAAATGTATTTGTAAACCAATACATCATACATATGTACGAAGAAGTAAACACTGTATTAACAAAGAAAATAAATAAATATTTAAAAACTAACTAACTTTGTAAAGAATCTGTATAGCTGTATTATTTATTAAAATTTCATGATACATTTTATTAATGCACTTATAAATAGGCAGCATGTTTTCATTGAATTTGTAAAAGATAAACAAAAGGTATTGTTTAAGAAACGAAGGGTTTCCGTAGTGGATGTTTTGATCAAAATCACTCTTTTTTGGAACTCATAAAGTTTAGTTAGCCCATTTTTTTAGAGGTAGAATTTCTTAAAAGTTCAAAAAAAAATAAGCTAATAATTATTATGGATCTTTTTCTTAATGTATAAAACATCCGAATAAAAAAATCGATAAAAAAGGTACATTATTAAAAAGAAACTTTTTCCACGACCTTATACGAAAGTAACTGTTTCCATACAGCGAATTACTTACGAAAGTTGACGATATTGAACGAATTGATTATTCTCCTATCCACACGTGTGAAAATATGAAAGTAACGTAAGAGGTTGTGCGATTGACGGAAAGCCCTAGACGCATCTGGCAAATTGTGCGTGCTTTGCTGTTTGTTGGCCATGTATGTACATTGCTTTTGACTTTTATTTTCTTCATCATTCTCCAAAACTGATGCAAAGTTTTGTAAATAAAACCACCGACTATTTAAACCTACGTCAGCTTACATAAGTAAGTATTTAATATTAATAGACGCTTAAATTAATAATTGTCAATCTTAGATTTTTAAGAGAAATATTACATTGTTTCATTGAAACGAAATGTCGTAGAAAAATAGTGGGAAAAATAGTGTACATAATTCTCGAAATTGTCTAACGCATTCGTGAGACTTCTCCCCACTTGTGCGTTATTTGTCACTTTCCGTGCTCGTTATGTAATATACTATTGTATTATCTATATTTTTTTTGCATTAAGTACATAAATAAGAACCATTTGCAAACCAAATTGTGCATTTTATTTCAACCAAAGTCACCAATAATGTAATACTAGGTTTTTGATAAAAACGTCATAGAAAGTTTTTACAAGTCTATAACAATCACAATGTCCTTCTAACCTTCAATTCTTTCATTCTTGGGATACTTAAAACAGTGTACTTAAAATATTAGAACAGTTTAAATACTTAAAATTGTTGTCATCGACTCTGATATTTTGTTCTACGTGTCAGGGGTCACCACGCCCGTTTAAAAAAGAAGAAAATTGTCAGGTGAGCATCCCACCGCAAGTCTCGTAAATCAGGCCAACATGGCGTTAGTCTGTGTGCACATGACGCCGTTCAAGCCCGCTTCTTATCGCTGTTCCCCGCCTCCAAGACTTTCGACAAATTAGTCATCAGTTTTGTCGGTTTCCTTTCCTTCGTCTTTCTTTATCGCGTCGCAGGCAAATGTGGCCACAGTATTTATGCATTCGCCTACAACTCCATTCGCTTTTTATTGTTCAGCCAACAATATGTCACGTAGGCAAGCATCGAGATAACAACTAGGTAAACGCTATTTTATAACACAAGGACCTGACCGTCAAAAGCCACTGCCAAAGCAGATTTCGATTGGTAATTTGAACGATTTTTAATAGTTACCCACGCAAAATATATTTATTTCAAAAATGTCAGTTATTTTCTAAACATTAAGTGAGATCAAAATTAATAATCCTTTTAATTTAATTAGTAAAACACTTGCAATAAATCAATCAATAAGTGATTGAAAATACCATTTAGGAGAGAACCTCAATCTTAGAAAGACACTTTTATGTGTTTTAAGCTTTGTTCATGTTAAATATTTAAGTTGTCACGCAAACACTGATGTATGTATGATAGATCTGCTTCCAATAAAAAGTTCGACGTTATAATATATTGCGGTTCAGATGTGGATATGCGGGTTTTAAATCATGCATGGCAGCTTCAATATAAAAAGATCGGTTTTTGGTCTCAAACGATATTTTTCTGCATTTGTACATTTTTAATGATACTCACCTATTTTCGGCTCTTCTAATCCCAGGCCTCCGCTCCTCTACCTGAAATCAAAACAAACACATTACTACTGAAATTATACATATAACAAAATTAAAAACTTATTTTTCTAAATATGTTAACAATACTCAATAGTTATATCCCGAGTGCATGCCAAATACGCGAATATTTTTACGAGTGCACAAAGTGACGGCATGCAAGAGGACTAATTTTCGAAAAAAAATTCGTAGGAATTCACAATAGAAATAATAAAAAATAATGACTTTTAGATGAATTACGAACGAAAAATCGTGAATGTGCTTTTAGTAATAACTATAACTATTATTGTTCAAATACTAATGTGCTTTTAGTAATAACTATAACTATTATTGTTCAAATACTAATTAATTGTAACTTAAATCAATTAATGCATTTGGATAATTAACAGGGCAAATGTTTTAAAAATTTCAAAAATATTCACTCTATGCACGTGTGCATATACTTTCATGGTGAATCGAATACTCAGTTATAATACTTATAAGTTATAATACAACAAGTAGTCAAAAATTGTCAAATATTTTTATGAATGGTCATTCGCTTATGAACACCATGAGTGCGCAGCACAAATGATATTCGCAAGCGCAATGACCATAATTAAAAATAGTCAACTATCTTTGATTATGAATTGTATTCAAAAGACTATTCAATGAACCAAATGTCACTGCAACCACTCGTGGAATATCCAGTTATATTTTATCACGAGTGGATATTAGTTTGAATTTGTTGTTGCTAAGATGCGGAAATATATATCTGTTATTTTATTGGTTAATATGTGAAAAAACAGAGGTAAACGGAATAGTCGGTGATATTTTTCTGAAGGAGTAGTCATAGATATGTAGTTTTGTAATCAAAATTATAAAAAATCTACTAAAAGGTTCTTTTATTTGTACAGTAGACTGTACATAAGTAAATTTGTTGATTGAGAAAAAAACATTTTGCCAAATTGTATTAGAATAATTGCGAGCAGAGCAATTAGAAATACGTAAAAATTTTCACATTTTTTAAATGCACTAGTTAGTATAAAAAAATGATTAGATAAACCAACAATTTTTTAAACCAACAACTTATGTTATAAATAATAATAATAATAATAATAATTATACTGAGAATGTAGATTAATATCCAAACAAGTGTACGTATATCAGACTAGAACTAGACGAGACATCGGACTAACTAGAATTGGACGACTAGTTTTAGCAGGTAGTCGTGTTAACAGGGAAGGCAACACGTCGCGTGTATATCTATCTACATGATGACAAGTGCCATTCGCACTTCCGCTGGCGTTCGTGTAAACAAGTTTCAGACAATTCTGTTGTTAACTAACATTTTTGACCAAAGGAACACTAAAAGAATTTCTTTGCTTTTTTTTCTTTCCAATCACTGATAATTGATTTTTAGAAAAGAGTTTTTTTCACCATATATCAAAAAGTAAACATTTTATAATTCACCTAGGCATAAAGCAAAGTTGCATTACATTGATGTTTTTAGTCTGAGTAGGTAATAGATCAAAAAGCCTATAGACAATGAATCTATTTGAAGCAACAAATCAGAAAGCTGTAGAGAAAATTAAAAGTTTGTTGATTACAAATTTAATAATTATTGTTTCGGCTAATAGCTGTGATATTTATAAAGAGAAAATAAAAAAACGTCGATTACAAAGTGTACGGAATTAAAAATTATCGATAAAATCATTGACAGAAATTTTCTTCAAAAAGTGATCTAAAAACCGATAATGGTAATTAAAATCCGGATCTTTTTGCCTGAAACGATCATGCTTTGCATTAAAATTGAGCTTATTTGACCCCATTAACTGCATCTATTTGAATATCTTTAAACAAAGTTTATGTTTTAAGACCTACAATATGAAAAATTTGGTTTACGTACTAGTTACAGATTTTTTACAATAAAAAAAATTGAGAAATAATAACAAAATAACAACAAAAAATTGTTGAGAAAATACAGAGTGTCCCACGTAAGATTTTCGGATCTAATATCTCTGTTATCAATGGTTTTTGATGAAATATAAAATGTAGATAAGATAAAAGGTGGAGATTCAATGAGTATGAGTAATAGTAATAAAATTACCTCAAGGTAAAAAATAATTTTTAGAAAAAACACTTTTAGAAATTTCGAACCATTAACGCCAATAATGGTAACTAACCAGAACTCGGCAATATAGTAGTTTTTTGCAACCGCCTATGTTTTTGTAACTTTAGCCATTTTTAACACAATTTTATATTTTTTTCTTGTAAGAAAGTTAGATTTTGACTTGTAGCATTTTTTGTATGCAATTAATAATTTGTTATAAATTTGAAGTAATTTAGCATTTTTTTAAAAATATATTAAAATCACATGTTAAGGGCTAGAATTGTTTTAATAATGCAATATTAATTTTTACCTACTACCTACTAAATGTATGTTACATTTCAAAATTCGTTAAAATCCGTTGGCAAAAATAGAGACATCAGATCTGAAAGTCTTAGGTGGCACAGCCTGTATAGTGAAAATATTTTGTTTTGGCAAAAATGCTCACAGGTCAATCAACATCGACATTTTTAATTTTTTAAAACCTCTAATTTTATTTAGCCAATTCGATAGATCTTTTAATTGTCGAAATGATAACACCAAAATATTAAACATTACATAAAGAGTTCAAAAAAAAACAGCAAGAAAGTAAAATAATATCAACAAAAAAACAAACACAAAATTTTAAAATAAAGTTGAGAATTTTTTAAAGAGAAAATTGACCTGTTGGTGCATTTTTCTCAAAACAAAATATTTTGAGTTTTAATAAATAAGATTGTTCCAAAATTTTGCCACTCATTGTATGTTTAAACATTCAAATTTGAAAATCGCCTCGTATACTGTTCAAAATACCATGAAGCTATTGTATTTTAGAGAGGTGTCGTAAAGAAGCCATCCATATCGATCCTCAAACCAAAATGTGACTAAGTAACGAATGTAGCGGCAAAGAATGGTCATCCATCAGAGAGGCAATGGCTTGTCCACGTGAACAAGAACTTTACGGTTTAAATAGAATTGTTGGACAAAACTATCATTGGCCTTTCGAGTGGAAAATATCGTCTTATGGTCCGTTCACATGTATAAGATGCATCGCGCATTTATCTGTAATGGGATTCTTTGGTTCTAAATTTTAGAAAAGTTAGGCGTGACGCAATGAGTTCCCGCACTTTGAGGAGGAAGAGCCGAGAACAATGGACTCGTTAATTAAGACTTCTTTTATAAGACTCCTCCGACACGAGACTTCAAAATTTCATTAAAGAACAAGTCACATGAAATAAGGATTATTGTTAGAAATGTGTTAACTAATAGTATTTATAAATTAATGGTAAATAAATCACCAATGAAGCTTTTTTTCCTCTACTTCGCATATGATTGATCAAGCACCCCCAAGAGCGTTGCTCATCATCGCCCTTCCTGTAAAAAAGAATTTCCAGATTGATTTCGGCTATAGGTGTGGCACAGGTGTTGGAATGGATCTCTTTAGAGATAAGATTGAGCCGCATGTGAGACTTTGAGTAATTGTTCAAAGCAAAAATCCCTTTACAAAGAAAACTTTGTCTCCGGCTGTAAGTACACATTTGCGTGCCCGTAATGTTCGATTTGTCCCACCGCGCGAGTGTCTGCAAATGGTGATGAAGTGGGTAGGAGAAATGGGGGTTATATCGGGCACGGAGTCGCGTAACGTGGATTCCTTCGGGTCTCTAATGTAGCAGACAAGCTGATGAAGACAACTCACTCGCATGGGACAACAAACCGGAGCGGAGTCTGGACCCCACTACAACTCACATACTCTGAAATTAACAAAAAAAATTCCAGAAAAGAGCGATTTGAAGTGCTTAAAAACGAAAACTTATTTCCTGCTTCTTAATCGGATCAATCAGCACGTAAAATTCCTAATTATGGCGCGTACCTGTTCGCCTTGCGCAAAATTTTCTTGTTAGTGTCGTATTTAATCCAAAAGTTGGTGATGTGAGCGCAAGAGAGGAGAAACTTTTAATGGTCTTCTTTGGCGTTTAAAGCAAAATAATGAGCCAAAGATAAACAACAATTTTTTCTATAGCTGTTGTACACGATCTTCATCAGTTCGAATGAAATATTTACTCGCAAATAAACGTAGTCGTCGTCTTCACAAGCTTGTGGGTGAATTAAAAGGATCCCATAAATGTACGTGTTGACTCAGGAAATAATCGAAAGCTATTAATTCCAGCGTCAATAGCTATCTGCTTTCAGAAATAATGATCGAGTCGCGTGCTACAGGTGTTAGCTGTAATAATGACGCCGTCGAGCATTTAGATTTTTGAGACACGGAATCGATAGCCGTGTAATAACAATGACGCTATTAAAGACCCATCGTAGAATAAAATGTTTAGTGATTAGTGGTAGAATAGAAAAAAACACAACAAAATGTGATTGCAATTAAAGATAAAATTCACAAATTCAAACACCCTCTTGTGGCGAGACTTAGACACAGTATAATTAAGTTTTGAAAAGCTATCATTAAAATTATCCAATAACAAAAACCGTCTTAATCATAAAATACAATAAAAGTGGGGAATTTTTTTAGAACTCTGACAAAATGAAAGTTTTTTATTAATTGTTGGTCTAAAAGCTTTCATTTTCAAATTGTATCTATGTATAAAAATATTTTAATTAATTGTTGTGCTATTATATTTTGTGTTTTTTTTTAATTACTTTAGAGTAAATAACAGGAAATAAGTTAAAACAAATCAAATGCATTACGCCTTTTTTTCTAAAATTAACAAAATTGTATATTTTTTCAAAAATAAGTACTAGAAAAAAATGAAATCCAAATAGTTTTATCAGGACCGTATTTTCAATAAGCCTTTTTATTGCCAGGACTGCCAGAAGTTAAACGCAATTTTTTTTTAATTGAGGAAAAGACATATTTTTTTAATTACGAGTACCTAGTTAATTTTTTGATTTAACTGTTTATTTTTGAGATCAATTATTTTTAAAGTGA